CTTTCCTTTCTCTTTCTCTCTGTCTCTCTCTGGTCAAACTAAACAAATAATGATGATAATAAATGAAATAATTCTTTTCTAAAAAGAAGAAAGGAAAGGAAAGAAAAAGGAACCTGGCCTCAGGATAGGATGGGATAGATGCTCTAGACCAAAAACTCCTTGGAGTGAGGTGCAGGTTAGTCACTGTGCTTCGGCTAAGCTCTGATGGGGCCCAGAGCGTAGACCCAGACTGTATTTCTGCAGATCAGACAGGAGCCTCTCAGAAGCCTGTCCTCCGGGCCTCGGAGCCATGCACTGGAAACGCAGCAATGCGGGGGCCTCCTGCCCTGTGAGCTCCGGGCAGAAGTGCTGAGGAGGGTGGTGTGCAGTGGCAGAGGTGGCAGTGCATGCAGCTGCTGCTGGTTGAGGTCCCAGGAGGTGGGGTAGAGACCTGCTCTGGTCACCAAGGAAGCCACAAGGTCCCTGCAGACAGCAGAGGCCGGGGCCTTCCACAGCGCTACTGCAAGTGCGGCCCCTGGGCCAGTGCCCTCACTCGGGTCTTCTGTGCATTCATGCAGGCCCCGGCCAGCGCCTCTGCAGGACACCCTGATGGCCCAGACCTGCCTGGGAGAACACGAAGAGAACGCCCGAGGTAGTCCCCAACCTCCCAGGAGCCTGGCACAACTGACCACCGCGGTCACCTGCCAGGTGTCTGAGTGCGCCAGTCTGCTGGCTGAGCCCCTCCGCAGGGCCTCCTCAGGAAAACGTACCCTGACAAAATGCCAGCCCGGGCTGGGGCTGTCTCTGCACATCCAGCTGGTCGTGCCCTCCCTCACCAGCGAGGGGCACCTGGGACACAGCAGGGGAGTCTTCCTCCCGAGATCACCTGACCTGAGCGTGACCCACTCTGGGCATGAGGTCCGTGGAGTCAGGACCAGAACCCGGGTCTGCTGGGCCCAAGTCCAGGCCCTGTCCCAGCCGAGCTCAGCCAGGCTCAGCCAGGCAGTAGGAGCGAGGCTCGCGCCCGAGCGGCTGGGCCCTGGCGCCTGACCCACCCTAGAGGCTGTGGCTGTGTCCTGGGCCATCTCGGGTAGCTGCAGTGAGGCCACGGTGGCCAGGATGGAGACCTCCCCCTCACTTCTCGTGTGTATGGCTGTGCGCCCCCAGTGTGGGACGGCATGAGGGGAGTGGGAGGACAAGCCAGCCTGGTGGTGGCAGCGTGCTGGACTCCCTGCACCAGTCCCAGGGAGCTGCCTGAGGGCAGAGGAGGGAGGGTGCAGACGTCCCTCCTAGCCACCCCCTACCCCACTCTCGCCCTGAAAGGATGCTGGTCAAAGCAGGAAGTGCTGCCGGGAAGGAGAGGGGTGAAATGGGCCAGGAACACACTGAAGACGGATGGGGAGAGGGGCAGCCGCGGTCTTGGGATGGCTAGACACAGGTCCCCACCCACTTCTGAGCCTGCCTGACCTGCAGCCCCTGCGGCCTGCTGCGGAGGAGGTGGGCTCCGGGGGTGCACAGCCCTGAACCCACAGAGGGTGCCTGCGGTGGGAACAGGAAGAGGAGGCTGAGGCCCGCCCCAGCTGGGGTTTAGTGTCCGCCGCAGAGGGAACCACCACGCGGGGCCACAGGCTGGGTGACCTCACAGTGGCAGCTGAACACAGGACAAGAAAGGGGTGATGCAGGGACATGGCAACGCGCTGGGTGACGGAGACAGAAAGGCTGCAAAGCAGGACTGGTGGGTAATGACAGCACTGTGGGAGCGGGTCGGGGACCCTGGGACGATTGGGCGTGCCACCTTCTGGTGCTTCTCTGCAGCAGGAAGGGTGGCACTGGCCGACTGCAAGAGGTTTAGCGTCCAGGCGCTGCAGCCACCGCGGTGACCCGCACAGCTGCGGGGCAGCGCCAGCAGGCACACATAGCACGGGCCCCATTTCCTGCATGCTGGCAAGTTCACTCCGTCCTTTGCCGGCCAACAGCTTCCCCTTCCACCCTAAGCATTCACCACACCCCGCGGTCAGCGTGGCGGGTTCTGGAAATGAACAAAAACGGAACCCTGTGGGGACCTGCTTGTTCCTCTGGCTTCTTTGCTCGCCATGTCTGAGACCCGTCCTGCTGTCACATCTCTCATGCTGTCCGTCAGTGAAAGCGTGGTCTCCACGCGCACAGCAGCATTCCCTTGTCCCCGCTCTACTGCTGGAGATGGGGTGGTTCTGGTTGGGTCACCATAAACCACGCTGCTGGCACTGGCCCACATCTGCTGACAGAGCCATCTCCCCTGGGAGAGCGTCTGGGCTGGGCTGGGGCTGGGGCTGTCTGTGGCTTTAACAGGTGTCACCAAATCAATTCTGAGTCAAGGGGTGACTTGACAGCCTCAAACTGGATGCAATAATAAGGAGACTGAGGAAGACAAATCAGCCACTCCTTAACCTGTTCCCAAGACTGATTCTTCCCTAAGTTTGGAGCACCTGCGATGCGCTGGGGGGCTTCCTCTCACCCGCTGTCAGTCACCTGCCTCCTCCCCCCGCCAGTCTCACCATCAGTAGGAAGAAATGAGGCTCAGGGCAGCTTCTCCACATCACGCCCCGGTCACCCGCCCCATAGTGACTTTGGAGCAGACGCACGGCAGCTCTGACTGGTTCTGAACGCCGTGCTGCCCTCTGCGTGGTGCAGCTCAGAACCCCTTCTCCCTCCAGGTGGCCCCATTCACACCAAAGAGGCAGATCACCTCCTGGCTGCCTCACAGGAAGACCTGGCTACCGGGCCTGCGCCTCTGCAGGCCCTCTGCAGACGGATGTTCGAGGCGCTGTCTCTGACATTCAGCCCAGATCCCTGCAGCAGGGATCTGTCCTGTGTCACCCAAGGCATGCAGCACCCCAGCCTCCACCTACCAGGTGCCACTAACACTCCCTCTGGTTGTGACAACCCAGGTCTGAAGGCATTGCCAAATGCTCCCTGGACAGCAAAGTAGCTGCCAGTCGAGAACTACTGCAATAAAGAAGTTTTAGGGCCAGCAGGTGGCGTGGTGTTTAAGGCGCTGGACTAGCACATGGCTGACTGCAATTTGAGTCCCAGACCTGGCAGCTTGCTTTCTCTCTGTCCCTGTCTCTCTGTGAGCACATGTGCCCTATAGAAAATTAAATAATAATCAAATTAAATAAGTTATTTTACAAAGAAAATAAGTTTTAGGAACACCAACTAGGGTTCTCTCTCCCACTGCCTCCCCCTCCAAAAGAGAAGCCCGGCCTTCCGGTACCCCATCGCCTGGACTGAGGGACCTCCTCTGTCCACAGTAGGCGTTCTCAGCCAGGCAACCATGCAAACCACGCAGAAAGCCACGCTGTTTACTGTAGTAAAAGAGAAACTGGAAGATGTAACAGGAGAATGAGGGAACACAGAGGTAGGAGGATTTGGAGGGAACGGCAACACGGAGGGAGAAACCATCTTGGTAAGTTCCCGTCTGTGCGCTGACACACCAGCCGTGGTTTCCCCACACGGGTGACTCAAACGCCAAGCATGAGGCCACAGCTAGCTTCCTGGGGTCTAAACTCCAAACCCAGTGTTTGCAGGAAGTTCACCTCGTTCTGTGAGAGCACACATGTGTACACACAACTTTACCCCACTGCTGAATCACATCGGACAGCTTGAAATGTATGGTGTTGTGGTCATTTTCTTTCACTTTAATTTTCTTACTGGGTCCATTTTACTTAAAAAAAAAAATACAAAACACTTTTAATATATCTTAGAAAATTAGCAAAATACTAAGAAAGTCGAGCATATTACATAGTACAGTTTAGATAAGGAAATTTGATCATTACATTTTGTTCCCTCTCAACACAGCATATCACAAAAACACATTTTCTTACACTTTTTTCATGCATAACTCCTGTAAATCATCATATTCCTATATTTATTAAGGAAAAGGCCTGATTATGATAAGCATTCAAACACCCCTGAAAGTTTTGCACAATAACTACAAAATTAAAACCAAAGGGCTTGTCTTAAGTCAGTTTTCTGCTGCTACAACTGAATAGCACAGACCGAGTATAATTTATGAAGAAATGTATCTTGCGCAGTTCTGGAGGCTGAGAAGTCCAATATCAAGGTGCAGGTGAGGGTCCGTGCTACGTCACAACGTGGTGACAGAGGAGTGCCGAGACAGCTGAACTCAGGGTTACACCACCACTCTCATGAAAAACATGCTGGGTACATGCACACACGCCCTAAATCCCAATAGGATGGCGAGGTGGAAAGAGGGACTGTGACATGACCGCGCCCTAACAGGGGTGCTTTCCCTCTCCCTCTGGCAAGCACACGTGCCCTCTGGCAATTAAAAAGAAAATAGTAGAAATCCACATGTCCCACCACCACCTCCCCTGCACGCAGGCTGTTGGACTCATAAGCCCACCAAGTTCCACTCCAGACTTCACACAGGCCATTAGCTCCCTGGTAAAGTACTGTCCTTCATTCTTTCTGAGGGGTCCTGGGGTCCCCTATTGTGAGGCATAAGCAGCCTGCAGGAAAGGCCCCACCCCATCCACGTCTCCTTGGTCTAACAGACTTGGCGGCCACCGAATGAAATGGTAACACCAAGAAGTGGCAGGGCAGAAACCAGCACCCCAACGAGCTGTCGGATTTCAAAGGCACGTGACACAAAGCTGCTAGGGAACGTTCTAACCTTCCTAAAGGGGACTACAAGAGGTCATTAAATGGAGTGATGCTTTTATTACATTTACAGCTAAAAATGTTAAGATAAATCGCTAAAGACCATTTCATTGGTAAATATTTCCCACTCATAGAAAAGGTGATCATTTATGGAATTCTGTTCCAGTTTCCTGTCCTGTAAATAAATACATACACTGAAATCTCTACACCAGACACTCTGGGTGTGAACATTTTTTTTTTTTAAGGAGATATTTTTGCTATAGGATGCATGTGCTTGCCAGATACAGAGAAAGAAGAGACAGAGAGAAAGTGAGAAATCACTCCCCGGGGGGATAGCCATGCCACAGTCCCTTCTCCTCCACTCTCTTCTCAGGATCTTGGGCACACACATGTGCCCAGCTTGAGTTTTTTAAGCCACTAGGTCTGGGACTCGAACCACGGTCGACTACTTGGAAGTCCAGTGACATAACCATTACACCATCTAATGGTCCCACGAATGTCTCTTTGAACTAGCTTCTCTGCTACTTCTGTGCAGGCCCTAGAGTAGGAGCATGTGCGGGTCTCTGTCCTCATTTAATCTGTGTAGACAGGAAGGACCTTAACCATCCCACTGACCTCTGTCCCTTTTGCACAACTCAGTTACCCCCGTGCTCATTTATAGTCGTAAGCGCCATTGCTGTAGGTGGGGCTCTGTTGCCTGGTACTTACACCTCGTGCTGGAAGGCCTGGCGGCATGAACACTGCCCTGAGCCCAAGGACAGCTTGTATATGACACCTCCCTCGATGCTCCTGTCCAGTCCAATGCACAGAAACCATGACCCCAATTTCCGCTCCACTGATTTTTATTAGGCATTTCCAACTGTTATTGGGTATTTCCTCCACCGTCGCCCATAGAGGAGCGGAGGAAACAGGAAAGAGGCCCACCTGATGAGGGCTGACGTCACGGCTGGGCAACGTAACACACGCCACCTTCACTGTGATGTTTAGAATCTAACCGCTGGACACAGTTCCTCGTCACCTGCGTGCATATAATCTGCTTTCTGTATCTCCCAGACCATTTTTATTTCAAGTTAACTTCTCTCTGCTATTCAGCATTACACCTCACAGCCTGGCACGTATGTGGTAGCACACCATGAGAGAGAGAGAGAGAGAGAGAGAGAGCGCGCAAGCGAAAGTACGAGAGCGAGCCTGCAGGAGAAGGAGGGTGAGTCTGGCCAAGGGGGTGTTTTCCTTCGTGGTGAGGGGGGAGGAGATGAGGAAGCCAGGCATATCCAGGTCAGGGAAGGAAAGAGCTTAGCAGCAGCCAAAAAACCCACTGTGAAGCCACACTCCAGAAAGGTGGCAGGAAATGGCAGTGGCTCGTGACTTCTCCTTCAGGGCAGCAGAGGTCAGAGGCATTCCAGTCCCTGGCACAGCTGGCGAGCATCCTGGCCAATCCGGGGGAAAGCAAGGACGGGTGCTGCTGGAGCAGAAAGATGCTGCCCCGCCACAGAGGCCCTGCCCACCCAGGGACCAGTGCCCACAGCCTGTGGCCCTCCATGCACTATAGCCACGGAGTGACCAAGCTGTCTGGGCACTGCCCCGTTCAGACGAGAACCTGAAAGGACTAGCAGTCATTTTCAAAAGCTGAAATTGTCAAGCAAGAGCGAATAAGGAGCTGGGCGTTACTGATGCTGTGTTCTGTCCAGGCCGGCCCTTATTGGTGGGAAGATAAACAGGAGGGTCTCCCGAGGATTCTGGCCAATCAGAGGCCTGGGAAGAAGAGCTAGAAGCAGCAAAGCCATGGTCCCCAACATAAAGCCCCCAGTCATGGCCACCACTGTCACTCTGTGGTCTTCTTCCCTTTCCAGTTCTTCTCTCTCTCTTCCAGTTCGGCCTGGGTGAAGGCTGCAGGCCCCCAGTTGGTGATCAGGTGAGGGTTCTTTGAACCTGAAGGACAAGCAGACTCTCAAGGCAGGAAGTACACATTCTTCAGGGTACACCGCCATTTTGCCACCGACAAAATGGTCACTCTCCAGCTTGATTTCTCCTCTGAGGAGCATCGGGAAATGTCACCCCAACCAAGACAACTAAAGGACATGCACTTGGGGACTACTGGACACCCCCACTGACGAGAGAGTGAGCTGTTCGAGAGCGCCACCCTGCACAGCAAGGAGTTTGTACATTGGGGCTAAAAGGGGATTTTTAGTACAATTCAAATACAAAGATAAAAAACAGTTTAGAAACAAATATGCGGTTTACTCAGAGCCTGTTACCTGGTTCTATCAACCGAATCAATCCTTCGTGCTGGGCCACTCTGTCCTTCCAGCTCTTGGTCTTAATAGCTGCCATCTCCAGCTTCTTTTTCACTCCCTGAAATAAAAGCGGAGTTTGGACTGTGCAGACCCGTGGGTAGGTAAGAACCAAGAAACAATGATCGGGCACTTACCACACGCTGTGGATTATCTCATTAAACCCTGACAGCCACTCTAAGAAGCAGGAACCACTGTTTCCCCATGGAACAAGGTGGAAACTAGAGTTCAGAGAGGTTAAGCCTGACTGAGGTCACATGGGAGGAAGTACTAGCACCAGGAGGGACCCCAGGCGGGGTGACCCCGAAGCTCCCCTGACACCTGTTCTCGTGTTAGAGATGAGGGTGTAAGATCCCCTGTGCCGGCTTCCGTCCCTCAGCTCCACACTCACCCTTCCTCAACCTGCCTGCAAGACTGGCTGGCACCACTACAGCTTGGCCAGGAGAGGGCGCTGAAGGAATGCAAGGAGGAAGAGGCTTCACGTCCAGTGGCACTGCCCTGTGGCTGCTTCTGCTGCACCGCTGCCAACCTGAGCAGCTTCCAGGATGCCCTGGGGCAAGGCAGGTACTGTGGGGCCTTCTGACAGCACGGGCCCACTGGGTGAAGGGGTGGGGAGGGCAAGGACCCTCTTCCTGATGTGCTCCCTCCCTTTCTCAGCCTCAGCCCTCAAGATATGGCTGTCTCCTGCATTTTCAGGGCTCTTTCCAGCTTAATAGGTAATCCCATTCTAATTTGTAACTTTTTTTCTTTAATTTGCTAGAGTACACGTGCCTACCAGATACAGAGAAGAGAAAAGTAAAAAAGTGCCCCCCCCGTGGGGGATGGTCATGCAGCAACCCCTTCTCCTCCATTTCTCCTTTCGGGATTTTGGGCATGCCACGCATGTGCCTGGTGTGTTTTTCCAAGTCACTGGGTCTGGGACTTGAACCATACAGTCAGCCATGTGGGGTCCAGCTGCTTTAATCATCATGCCCCTGGCTAGCCCCAGTTAATACATCTTTAAAGAAATTTTGCGAGAGGGATATGTGTGTTTGCCAGAGAGAAAGAGAGAGAGGTAGAAAGCACCCCAAAAGGAGTGTGATCACACCCCAATCCCTATTCTCTTTCTTCATCTTGTCAGGATTTGGGGTTTACATGCACACGTGCCCAGTGTGCTTTTTAAGCTGTGGGGACCAGGATTTAATCGCAAGGGTGGCCATGTGAGATCTGACTCCCTTAACCAGGAGACCACAGAGACCACAGTTAAGAAACTTATATTAAACATTCGCTGTCCACTTACCATGTGGCTATCTCCTGCCTGGGCTCAGACCGATGCCCAATCTCCTGTAAGAGCACTCCCTCTCGCTTCTCACTGACACCAAGCAATGCTCCTACTACAGCTTCGTGACAGCAGCTAAGCAGGTGTTCCCTGCCTAAAACTGCCTCCGTGGGCGTTGCCCTCACCTCATACTGCTCCAGCGCCTGCCTGCGTTCCTCCTCCAGCTGCGCCAGCTGCTCCATGGCCTCCTGCAGGGCACGCTCCTTCTGCAAGCGCTGCGTCTCTAGCTCCTGCTTCTCCGCCTCTGTGGTCTGAATGGCCTGCTGCTGCTCCAAGTGCCACTTCTCCAGCTCAGCCCTCTTGGAAGACTCTTCCTCCAACAACCTGACGTGGAAGAGACCTCAGGTCACATCTCCCAGGCCGTGGCGGAAGAGCACCTGAGCTCGTGTGCTCCAGCGCTCCGGCAGAGCAGGAGGACACGGCGGAAGAGCACCTGAGCTTGTCTGCTCCACCGCTCCCTCTGCAAGGAGGAAAGTAGGAGCCAGAGAGGCTCAAATTCACGAAGCTGGGAAAGAGGCCTACGTGCCCCAGGCCTACCCATCTTGGTTTCATCCTTTTCTGAAAAATAACAACAATGATGATATTCATGCAAGGCTTAATGTGTGTGAGGAACTGAGCCCAGGATCAGTGACTTAGGTGCTACTCTCACTCACATTTCCAAGATGAAGAGAGGCAAAGGGCCACCTGCCTGCCAGGCAGGAGGGCCGAGTTGTGCCACTTGCCTGGCTGCTACATTAAAATACTCCTCCCTCAGTAAAAACCTATCGCCAAAGGAAAAGCTGACTAAGGGAGATGACGGGAGAAGGGGCCAACACGAGGCAGAGCTGATAACGGCTACTAGTTATTGAGCAGTTACTACGGGCCAGGCACGTGGCCTTCATTACTACAGATCCCCAGGGATCCTGCGAGGTTTTATCCCCACATATCACATGCAGCAACAGAAACGCAAAGGATTCAGAGTAGGCTGCACAGGTTAAGGGATGTCAACCCACGTCTGTGCGACTCCAAATTGCTATTGATGCCTAACAGGCTGCCTGTTGACAGTATGCAGCTATGTAGGTGTGAAACACGCTAACGAACAGCAAGACATGCTAACGTACACTCAAAGTCAGGCAGGAGGGAGGTGCCAGCCCGGGACGGAATGCACACCCTAGTAGCATAGCCACGAAATCACGTCACAGAGCAGGCCAGTCACTGCTACCTGCCCACACCTTCTTCTAAAACCACAACAAAGGAAGTGAAGTAGCAGGCTACACAACCCTTATCCCGCCACCCAGCTCCTCCCTCCTGAGCCCCCCCACACAGCAGTGGCAGAAGCCCCCCTGCAACCTCCTGCAAGGTACTTATCTAATTCTTCTCCTGTACTCTAGGGGGTGGGTGACTGCATCCCCGGCCAGTCAATTTATTTAGGGGCAGCCTTAATATTTAGAACGTTCTTCCTGACACTAAGGCATGCTCTTCTGTCCACTCTCCCTGCTTTTACCAAGGATACATGTACCCTTCTTCCCTCAGAAGGCAGTCCTTTCCTGCTGGGAACACCCCTCTCTACGCAGACCCTCTGCAGCCTCAACTATGGGACTCAATACCTTCCTCGGGGTGCATGTCAGGCTCCCTAGATGACCCCTGGTGTTCGGTGCCCAGGATACATGAGTGCGGTCTGACTGGGGCAGGGTTTCCTCACTCACTCGACAAGTAGGTATTATGTACTTTCTAGGTGCCTTTCGAGAATGGGGGTGGGGCTGTTTTCTCCTCCTGGTGGTAACAATGCAGAGGAGGAGTGGACATTTGCAGGTGTTCAGGCTGCCCAGCATCAGAGCCCCTTCATTTGAGATCTCGGCCTCACTGGGAGTCTTGGTGGCAGGTTCCACCTCCCACGACAGAAGCCACAGGCCAGACACCTGCCCTCTGGAACCCTGGGGCCAGGGCTTTGTGGAAACTGAGCTGGCTTGGCTAAGCAGATGCCCCTTCTGGAATTCTGACTCTGACACAGAGTCAGACTGTGGAGAAATGATTGCTGGTGGCAGCACTGTCCAGCGCTGAATGCCACAGGACAATGGCACCACGATGCCAGAGCCAGGGCTGGCATCGGAGCAGTTATGCTGGCTCCTTCCTGTGGCCTAGTGGGCTGCTTGTCCTCCCGTCCCCCACCTGGGTCAAGGCCTACCATCTGCCTTTCTGCAGAACCACTGAACGACTTAAGGACCTTCCAATAGAGGCCAGCACATGGTGTGGTGGTTAAGGTGCTGGACAACTCCCATATGCCTGACCACAGTTCAAGTCTTGTACCTGGTGGCTTGCTTTCTCACTTTCCCTCTCTCTCTCTCTGGTCAAATTAAAATAAATGAATGAATAAATAAAATAAAATAATTCTTAAAAAAAAAAGTTCCAATAAATTATTTTCTATCCACATTAGTTTTAGCAGTATACAAACAAAACTAAAGGCATCAGGACCTCTCTGTCTTTCTGTGCCTCCACGTTCTCATCTATGAGAAAACAAAGAGAAACTGCACCCGTCAAAGTTCGGCTGGTGTTCTCGGTGTGGGGAGGACCTGCCCACCTCGCAGCAAGTGAGAGCACACAGCAGCCCAAGGTCTTACAGGCGCTGCCCCCTTGTCAGCTCAGCACACCTCCCACCCACTGAGGCTCCTGGAGACCTCACCACAGGGAATGAAACCTGAAACCTTAAAAAAAAAGTTTACCAGATACAAAAATAAAAAGTTATCTGTTGATGACGGTGTATGTGGTAATAATTTTAACTTAGCTAATACGCACTGTATTCACGCTGGGAAAACCATATCGTGCATTGTAAAGATGTACAGCTTAAATGTAATGTTTTTTTAATGTAAAAATATTTTTAAATAAAAAATCTCTTGGGACCAGCAGATGGTGTTCTGGGTATGTTACTGGACTCCCACGTAGTCAACCGCGGACTGAGTCCCAGAACTGGCGGCTTGACACTCATACCGGGCACAGGTGCTTGTATGCTCCAAATCCCAAGAGGAGAATGGACAGGAGGGAACTGCAGTGTGGCCATCCCCTCCAGGGGGTGACTTCTCACTTTCTGTCTTTCTGTCTGTCTCTCCAGCGAGCACATGTGCCCTATAGCAAAAATCTCTCTCTCTAAAAAAAAAATAAATAAATAAATAAAAATAATAAAACAAAACAAAAAATTTACATTCTTATAAAAAAATTTTTTTAAACCCTAAATCTTTTCAAATGAATGGCTACTGAGTCGATCTTTCTATGCTTGTTCCGGTAGTTTAAACTCTTCCTGATCTAAAACCCCCCATTCCACCTGCCAATGCAGGAAATGGGATTGTAGTGCCATCACTGAAGTCCCACTGTGGGCTGATTTCTGTCCCGCGGTCCCTGGACTGGCAATTAGAAAACTGCTGAAGCTTATTATCATTATTATTTTACTGTTTCAAGGTTCATCTTATTTCTCTCATGAGAGATGGGGGACCCTTGCCAACTCCTCTTCTGAATACTTCTCTGACACTCTACACATTAAATATCTTCCTAATGAGATAACAGAAAGCAACATTCTCCAAGCAACCTCCAGAAGCCAGGCGGTACACTCAGCACGGGGTGTGCGGAACCTCGCTCCCCCCCGCACAGCTCTACGAGGCTGGCTCGGTGTGAAACAGCTTCTCGAAGTTACACAGCTACAAAATGCCAGAGCTGGGAATCGAGGCAGACCTCACCCCAGAGCCCCGTTAGCTGCCTTCCAATACCTGCGGAAGATCACATCACACTCAAGAGACCGCCGTGCCACGTGGCCCCGGTGGGTGGGGCCTGGGTCCACTGATTCACTGGAAAAGCACTCGTCGGGCATTTACCGTGTGCCAGCTGCTGAACTCATGCTGAGAACAGGCAACACAGCGGTGGGCCCTGGGCCTTACAGGTCCAAGCTTTTAGGGGGGTCAAAGTTATGATGGCACAGATTATGGCTCAGCCTCAAGAACTTCCCAGTAAGTTGAGTTTTCCAAATTAAAAAAAAAAAAAAAAAAAAATTTTAAGAGAGATTTTTGCTGTAGGGTGCATGAACTTGCCAGAGAGACAGAAAGCAAGAAATCACTTGCCAGGAGGGATGGCCATGCCGCAACCCCCTCTCCTCTCAGGATTTTGGGCATGCACACACACATGCCCAGCATGAGTTTCAAGTCACAGGGTCCAGGACTCAAACCACAGCTGACTACATGGGAGTCCAGCGACATAATCCTTACACCATCTGCTGTTCCCTATCATCATCATCATCATCATCATTATTATTATTAAATTTGCTATAGAGTACATGCACTCACCAGAGAAAGAAAAGGGGTAGGGCAGAGTGAGAAAGCAAGCCGCCAGGTCCAGGACTTTAACCGCACTTGGGCATGCGGAAGTCTAGCGCCTTAACCACCATGTTACCTGCCAGTCTCAAGTTTTCCAAATGTTAAATAAACACTCTGTGCATTCTCTTCAGAAAAGCTAGATAGCCATCCAGATCATGCATTAAAAAATAAACTTCCAGCCCAGCCACAGCGGTGCAGGTAGTGGGGCGTTGCTGCATGATGCGGAAGCCACAGCAGACATCCAGGTGTGGATGCCAGGTCGACCTAGGCACGTGAGGTGTGCCCACACGTGCCCATGATCCTGGCTGGCGGGGAGGCTAGGGGGAGGGCTGTGGCATGGCAATGCACACCCTGTCTCTCATGAGAGAAGTAAGTAAGATGAACCTTAAAACAGTAAACTAAATAAATAAGCTTCAATAGTTTTCTAATTGCCAGTCCAGGGGCAGAGAGAGAGAAAGCGCCCCACAGTGGATTTGTAGTGATAACACAACAATTTGTTTTTGCTACATATCCATAGTGTCAGGATTGGAGGCACATACGTGCATGTGCCCAGCATGTTCTTCAAGCAGTCAGGCTCAGATCTGGACTGCGGCTGGCCAGTTCTCTATGCCCAGTGCTTAACCACTATGCCAGGGAGTGGATCCAGTTTCAATGTCAATGAAAAATTAATTAATTAATTAAGGCCTGGAGGGTCTAAGCCAAAGTTCTTGTCTTAAACAATTTACTATAAAAAGCATCTTTGTGGCATGGTGGTTAAGGCGCTGGATCCCACGTGACCGACTGTGGTTCAAGACCTGGACCGCGCAGCTTGAAAATCACACAGGGCTCGTGTGTGTGCGTGCCCAAAGTTCCAAAAGAGAATAGAGGACAAGGGACTGCAGTATGACCACCCCCCCTGGGGGGGGGTGATTTCTCACTCTCTCTCTCTCCATTTTTCCATTTCTCTCTGTTCTCTCTTGCAAGTGCTCACACCCTATGGTAAAATCCTAAATTTAAATAAGAAGAGAAAAAGAGGTACATCTAGGGAAACTTAAAACACCGATGAAGAGAAGACTGTCCATTAGGTGAACACTGAGAGGTTAAAAAGTCCGAGACTGCCTTGCTGTTTCCTTAAAAAAAAAAGACATGGAGAGTTAACTAAAAGCCCTTCACATACACCTCTGGTCTAGGAGTGTGCTTCGTTTCACTGTGCCAGTGTTTTCTAACCCAACTTCGGGTGCCCGCCCTTGCTTCTTCGTCCCAGGAAGGCTATCCTGGGAGAGGGAGCAAGCCGCCTTTGCCGCTCTGACAGGAAGGCTCTCTGAATTAGGCCCAGCCTTCAGTGACTTGGGAAAGAGGAACTCGCCTTACTTAAAAATGACCACTAGAGGGGGCGAATTCGCCTATTTCTAGTTCCAAAAACTAAGATGAAAAATAATTCAGAATAGTAAAATAATTATCTTCATATAATGGCCTTTGCACAGCAAGAAAAAGTTCAATTTCTGTTTGGTACTTTCACCTTATTGGAGCATAGCTGTATGTAGTAGTTATATTTCCATTCATTGAAAAGCCCAGGAGGAGAATGGAGGACGAGGGATTTCCGAGCGGCCATCCCACTTGGAAGTGCTTTTTCACTTTCCCTCTCACTTTCTGTCTTTCTGGCCAGCACATGTGCCCTATGGCAAAATCTTTAAAAAAATAATAATAAATGTCCATTCAAAAGGTTAAGACTGTTTTTTCTCAAATCAGAGCATACGAATGCTGAAGCCATCGCTTTTTAAGTAGTATATGCCTTCTTCCTAGCTACAGATACCACAGACATTTGATCTGATGACTCTGGGGAGAGGTCCCACTTGGTAAAAGATTGGTAAAGCGCTCTCAGCTAGAGCTGAGACACTCCCGCTCTCTACGGCGCTAGTCGTCCCGAGAAACCGCATCCACCATGCCAGCCACGCAAAGGCAGTCTGCAAGCCGATCTGGGCACCTGCCCTGAAGCTTCGGCACCCACTCTGGTTAAAAACCAGAGAATGGCTGAGGCGGTTGGCTCACGTCTGGAGTTTTCCTCTACATGCCAGGTGTGGACACATGCCCAGGCCCTACTCCTGGAATAAGTATTTTTGGTGTGGCTCCCCCAACAAGACATCTTAAAGACACAGATGCAACCCAGCTGTGGTGGCGCCGTGGCGGTGCACAGCTCTGCATTGCTGGAGCCATGAGGGAGCAAGGGTTCACTCCTGGGTTAACCTGTACACAGCGTGTGTGTGTGTGAGCCTGGCTGACTGAAGGGCTGGTGAGGACTGTGTCATGAGACTCTGTTGAAGGTACTTATCTTTTTCTCTCTTTCTCTGTCTCCTCATTGAAAAAAGAATAAATAAATAAAAATACAAATGAAACAGCAAGTTAGAAACTAGACTAGAATATAGCTCAAATTTCCCCGCTGGGGTCTTCACTGTATTTTGTCCTTCCTGTTGCTATGAGGGTCCCAAATTGAGAGTTCTCGTCTGAGAACATGGTGATCCTAAATAGTAAACTAGACTTCAAAAGTTCTAAGACAAAAAAAAAAAAAAAATTTAGGTTTTAAAAATTTTTTTTTTTTTGGAGAGGTTTTTGCTATAGGGCGCATATGCTCACCAGAAAGAGAGACACAGAAAGCAAGAAATCACCCCCTTCCCTCGGGGGGTGGCCACACCACAATCCCCTCTCCTCCATTGTCCTCTTGGGATCTTGGGCACGCACACACACACCCCTGACGAGTTTAAGCCACCGGGTCCGGAACTTGAACCGTGGTTGACTACATGGGAGTCCAGTGACATAGCCATTACACCAACTGCTAGTCCCAGTTTTAAAAATTTTTAAGAGAGCCCAGCAGGTGGTTAAGGTGCTGGACTCCCACAACCACAGTTCAAGTCCCAGACTGACAGTTTGGGAATCACGCTGGGCACATGTACGTGCATGCCTAGGATCCCAGGAGGAGAATGGAGAAGGAACTGAGGCATGGCCATTCCCCCTGGGGGAGGTGGGTTCTCACTTTCCCTCTCCCTGTCTCTGGCAAGCACATGCATCCTATGGCAAAAACATAAAAATAAAATAAAGTTTTTAAACTTTATTTGAAATAGTAGTCATTGAAGACATGTCATCAATCCTGAATGACCAACTAGAAACTGCTTATTTCCTCTTTATGCCCCAAATGTGCCAGTACCTCTGGCCTGAACAGGCCTCTGCCTCCAAACTGAGGGCCCTCTGTGGGCTGGAGTGTGATACAAAGCCACATTCTTACCCGAGCTGATCCTGTGTCCACGGACATTCTAGAATATGGCTATGGGCACCCCATGAAGCATATACACCAGACTGCTCTGAAATAGATACAGGCCCTCTTCAGCCCCAGATGCCAGGGTTTCCTGGGTTCCACCTCAGTGGGGCACAGGTAGCAGCCACCACATGGGAGACCCAGGTTTGGTTCCCTGGCCAGCCTGAATACGCCAGGTGGGCAAGACTGCATGTGCTTGTGATTCTGGGTAATTGGGAAGCAGGGGTGTGAGGACCCCGACAGAGCAAGACTCCACCAAAAGCACCTATCTCTGTCTCTCTCTCTTGTCTTCTTTCTCTCAAAGGGGGTGGGAGGAAGAAAAGGAATAAGGGTTTCCTGGAGCCTCCTCAGGAGAAGAAATACCCCGGCCTGCCAAGTCTCCGGAGTCTCTCTAATCTGAACACCTCGACTCAGTCACAGCTAGGGCGGAAACACTCCCACTCTCCACGGTGCTAGTTGTCCCGAGAAACCGCATCCGCCATGCCAAGCACACAAAGGCAAAGTCTGCAAACCGACTGGGCACCTGGCCTGAAGCTTCCGCACCATCTCTTCATCTTGCCGGGCCTGCCTCTCGTCCTCAAGGGCCTCCTGCAGCTTTAGGTACATGTCTTCCAGCTCCCGGACTCGCTGCAAATACTGCTCCAGTTCAGAGGACTTTTGGGCAACCTGTTCTTCCATCTGCTGCCTGATCTGATGGTATAAAAGGTCATGTTTAACACGTTAGCACCCCTCCGGGAAGGCCTCCCCCTCCATCTTCATTCTAGGGGGTTGCCCACAGCCACTGGCAGGGCTTTGGCCTCCCATCGTTGGTCTAAAGATGAAGGGAACAAGAGTATCACACCAAGGAGCAACGCAGAAGGGTCAGGCAGAATGAACCTCGGCCTAGACGCCCCGGTAAGTCCCCCATCCCTGCCACTCCACACTGTAGAGCTCAAATCAAGCAGAACATGCTTTCCTATATACTTTCTCTGTAAGTTTCTTCCTTCTTCCCTTCTTTCTTTATCTTTTACTTTTTTTTTTAAATTTAACTTTTATGGTCAGGCCACAGAGAGGGGGACCCCCATGGGGCATGGTCACACTGTAATTTCTTTTCCTTCTCTCCATCCTGTCAGGATTTGTAACACATTAAAGGCCCATGTGGTGTTTTAGAAGCCACTGGGGCCAGGATTTGAACCACAGTGGGTCATATGGGATCTGGTCTCCTTAACACTAGGTTCTGAGTCTGGCCCCTCTTTACATTCCTTATGCCCCAAATGTGCCAGTACCTCTGGCCTGAACAGGCCTCTGCCTCCAAACTGAGGGCCCTCTGTGGGCTGGAGTGTGATACAAAGCCACATTCTTACCCGAGCTGATCCTGTGTCCACGGACATTCTAGAATATGGCTATGGGCACCCCATGAAGCATATACACCAGACTGCTCTGAAATAGATACAGGCCCTCTTCAGCCCCAGATGCCAGGGTTTCCTGGGTTCCACCTCAGTGGGGCACAGGTAGCAGCCACCACATGGGAGACCCAGGTTTGGTTCCCTGGCCAGCCTGAATACGCCAGGTGGGCAAGACTGCATGTGCTTGTGATTCTGGGTAATTGGGAAGCAGGGGTGTGAGGACCCCGACAGAGCAAGACTCCACCAAAAGCACCTATCTCTGTCTCTCTCTCTTGTCTTCTTTCTCTCAAAGGGGGTGGGAGGAAGAAAAGGAATAAGGGTTTCCTGGAGCCTCCTCAGGAGAAGAAATACCCCGGCCTGCCAAGTCTCCGGAGTCTCTCTAATCTGAACACCTCGACTCAGTCACAGCTAGGGCGGAAACACTCCCACTCTCCACGGTGCTAGTTGTCCCGAGAAACCGCATCCGCCATGCCAAGCACACAAAGGCAAAGTCTGCAAACCGACTGGGCACCTGGCCTGAAGCTTCCGCACCATCTCTTCATCTTGCCGGGCCTGCCTCTCGTCCTCAAGGGCCTCCTGCAGCTTTAGGTACATGTCTTCCAGCTCCCGGACTCGCTGCAAATACTGCTCCAGTTCAGAGGACTTTTGGGCAACCTGTTCTTCCATCTGCTGCCTGATCTGATGGTATAAAAGGTCATGTTTAACACGTTAGCACCCCTCCGGGAAGGCCTCCCCCTCCATCTTCATTCTAGGGGGTTGCCCACAGCCACTGGCAGGGCTTTGGCCTCCCATCGTTGGTCTAAAGATGAAGGGAACAAGAGTATCACACCAAGGAGCAACGCAGAAGGGTCAGGCAGAATGAACCTCGGCCTAGACGCCCCGGTAAGTCCCCCATCCCTGCCACTCCACACTGTAGAGCTCAAATCAAGCAGAACATGCTTTCCTATATACTTTCTCTGTAAGTTTCTTCCTTCTTCCCTTCTTTCTTTATCTTTTACTTTTTTTTTTAATTTAACTTTTATGGTCAGGCCACAGAGAGGGGGACCCCCATGGGGCATGGTCACACTGTAATTTCTTTTCCTTCTCTCCATCCTGTCAGGATTTGTAACACATTAAAGGCCCATGTGGTGTTTTTGAAGCCACTGGGGCCAGGATTTGAACCACAGTGGGTCATATGGGATCTGGTCTCCTTAACACTAGGTTCTGAGTCTGGCCCCTCTTTACATTCCTTTCTGTCTGAAAGCCACGAGCTCTTTCCCGAAAGGAACGAGCCCTCCCGCAGCCAGAGCAGGAGGCATGTTAAGTGAAGCGAAGTGAGCTGTCTGCCTGCAAGTCTCCCCCTGCACTGCGGCCTTCCCCCTTCCGGGGCACCTACAGTCCTGCCTGAGTGAACTCAGGCAGTTCACTCAGTGTCTTAACACATTTGTGGCTTTTCCCTTCTGGATTAAAGAGTGGTGAATCCCTTCCTACCTTAGAAATAAAGAGAAGGAGATCCTAAATAGAACATCATGCACGTTGGCCTGGTCTATAAAATGCCTGCAGTTGCAAAAGCTCACTGTCCTCACAGAGTCCTGAGAGCATATGGTAAGAAGAGAAAGCGATGCTTGGCAAGAAGGGGCAGAGAAGTCTGGCCAGACAGGTGCGAGGACGGTGCGGCGGCTTCACAGCCGTCTGCCCCCTGTGCCTTCTGCTCACGCACACGCGCTCTTTCGATTCTAGCCGAAGGGGAGTGACTGAAGGACTGTCCTGAGCACTGGTCTGGGCACAGGCTCAGCACTCTTCAGCACTGCCTCACTCACCCTGAGAAGCCCAGGTCCCCATTACACCTTAACCCACCTGGATCCTGGATCTCATGGGGATGGGAGCCCCTAGTATAAATCCAAGCTGCCAAGAGCAACACACAGATCCAGATGTTCTCCCGCTGCAGGCACCCCCACCGTTCCCTTCCCAGAGCGGAGACGTCACGGGACTCTGCTCACCTTTCCCACAGCTATTGATTTACCAAAGCAGAACTCTTTGGAGAATGAAAAGGCATGATAATAATTATACCAGGGTGAGAGGGCCTGTCCCAGGCAAACCAGGACAGACAGTCAGGTGACCAACGACGCCTCACCACGTTCCATACACTTCTATTTCGGAGTCTTGCACACAGGCTTACGTCTTTCACCTATCTCTGGCACAGGGCTAGTACACAGAAGGTGCTCAATAAATGGACAAGCGCAGAGCTTACTGTGTGGAGGCAGAGCCTCGCTCCAGCCTCCCAGCCCTTCCCATCCACCATCCAGCTCCCGTGGCGTCCCCACCCCGCACACTCACCAGCTTCTCCCGCTCCAGCTCTGAGCTGAACCTGGCCTGCAGTTCCACTTGAGTCTCAAGGCGTTTCTTTTCCTCCTCTGCAGCACGAGATGCAGCTTCTTCCAGTTTCTACCCAGTCAAAACCCCGCCCACAGAAAAGCAGGATTGTTACAGCAGAGGGACATCTGGGGAGCTGCTCACGCTTACACGCATGGGGGACACCGACCACTCTTAACATTCGGGAAAGATAAACTAAATGCGCCCAGTCGAAACACAAAACAAACTAGGTAAACGACTACTGATAAGTCTGAACAAGGTTTGGCAAGGAAAGTTTTAGTAGTTGTTAAGTTACTTACATTCCTTTGCAACTGCATTCATGAGGTTTAAGATTTATTTCTTGAGCTCTTTCTGGACAGCTTTGTTACCTTATGCATGACTGTCTAAATCTCCTATCAGAGCGTAACTTTCAGAAGGGTGGTCTGAGGAACTCCATGGACCCATGCCCCAGTAAAGCAACCACAAGTGGTGAAAATTATTTTTTTAAAAAACAACCATTAAAAGTCTCTGGAAATTATCCTAAGGGTATACAGCAAATGCAGAAAATTCATCTAAGAAAATCTACTCAACCTTAGTAAGAACAGAGAGCATCTATGGCATCTGAGGCACAATGCACTCCCTCCTCCATCCCCACAAGGTCGGCAAGATGGAAGCTCTATTCCTGACAGAAGGTTCTCCCACCCCTCAGCTCAGTCTCGGCCAACGGTATCCTGTTAGGAGAGGCCACCACTTTGTAATCCTCATCTCTGGCTCCATGTTGCAGCAGGAGTGGCTGAGGTCAGAGGTGCTCTTCCTGCACTCATCCCCACTAGTAGGGTAGTTCTGCCCCTGGTATGATAGGCTGAGAACACTAGGTCCAACTGCCCTCGTTTCAACTCACTCGTGGGGCAGAAGTTCCACACAGGGAGAGGCAAACATGGAGACCCAAGGCTACCACCCCCACCTGGGACATGCAGAACACTCTGCCCCCAGCTCCAGAACACCATCCAGAGGTTTTGTGCAGGGAGGAAGGAAGGCTTTGATGGTCTCCACAAAAGAACGGACTTTCTCGGAAGAATAAACAACTGAGACTTGGGAGGCGTGGTGGTAAGACATTAAGGGACTGGCAGCTCCCTGAAGGCACCAAGCTAAACCTATACCAGCCAGAAGTCTGGCAAAGAGAATCAGGGGAGAGCGGGCTGAGGCCACCTGTGGGCCCGAGTTTAAACGACATCAGCCTATGCGGCGATTTAGACCCCCGGACGTTGTGAAGAACAGCTCAATCAGCCTGAAATTAATGCGGTCTGACAGCTGGGAGTGATACCAACCAAAATGCACACAGACGCCCTGCTAAAATCAGTCACCTCAGGGCCAGCAGGTGGCACGGTGGTTGGGGCGCCGGATTCCCACATGGCTAATCATGGTTCGAGTTCCAAACCCAGTGGCCTGCTTTCTCTCTTTCTCTCTCTGGTAAGCACGTGTCCTCTAGTAAATTAAATAATACTAATAATAAATAAAATTCAATAAATAATTCTTTAAGACAAAAACACAAACAGTCGTCTCCAGGGGACTGTGCACATGCCCATGGCAGCACCTCTGAGCAGCCCCAATCAGAGGTTTCACGCCGTGCGGAAACAGATGCTGAAGCCATCCCGCCAAGTCACTGAACAATGAATGAGCCCTTGGGGTGCGGGTGGGGGGTGTTAGAATAAGTAGCCAGAGTTGCTACACTATTACCTAAAATGTCCAATTTTTGATAAAAATAACAAGACATGCAAAGAAATAGGAAAGGGGACCCACATAGAAACTGCCTTTAAAGATCCCCAATGATGGCGTTAGCAGAGGAAGATGTCAAAGCAGTTGTTATAAATATGCTCAAAAAAAAACAAAATAAATCATCCCTAAAGAAGTAATGGAAGAGGGGGGAGAAGAAGCAATGGAAGGGGCCAGCAGGTGGTATGGTGGTTAAGGTGCTGGACACTCCCACATGGGCGACAACAGTTCGAGTCCCAGACCTGTGGTTTGCTTTCTCACTTTCCCTCTCTCTCTCTGAGTGTTTCTCTCTGGTCGAATTAAATGAATGAATGAATAAAAATTAAATAAATAACCATTTTTTATTTTATTTTATTTTTTAATCTGTAGGAGCCAGCAGGTGGCATGGTGTTTAAGGCACTGGACTTCCACATGGCCAACCACAGTTCTAATCCCAGAAGTGGCAGCTTGCAAAATCGTGTGTGCCCAGAATCCTGTGAAAAGAAAGGAGAAGGGATTGCAGGCTGGCCAGCAGGTACTTTCTCACTTTCCTTCTCTGTGTCTCTCTCAAGCAAATGCACATACCCTATGAAAAAAACTATAAATAAAAAAAAAAAAAGAGAGAGAAAGAAAAAAGAAAAAGAAAATCTTGAAAGTAGCCAAAGAAAATGATTCACCATATGCAAGGGAATCCCAGTAAGCTGGACAGTTGCTTCTCAGTAGAAACATATGACTAGTTCTGGCAGAAATGAAGGGTGACATTTGGGGCCAGAGCACTTTAACCGCCAAATCACAGAGCACTTTTCTTCTGGTACAGTCAGTAGTAACATTCGAGATGGTGGCTGGTCTATCGGCCTCAACTTCCTAATGATAGATGGACATACTCTCTAACCCAGCAATTCTGTAATCTCCAGAATTTACCCCACAGAGATACCACACCATGTATGAACATGTATAAAATGACACTGGTACCAGATAATTCCTTAAGCATTGTCAGTTAAAACAAAACATTAAAGCAACCCAAATGTTTATCAATAGGAAACTGTTACAGAAGTAATAACACAGCTATATATAATAGAATATATACTGTTTTTGTGTTTAAAAATGGGAAAATACTAATGCATAATTAGTTTTGTTTTCCTTGGATAAGGACTGGGAACTAGGCGGGAGTCGGGGAGGAGTGACAGGGGCCCTTCACTGAATGCCTTTTCATATTTTTAGATTTATGAGCCTATTCAAATGGCTAGTATTTTTTAATGAAACAAAAGTAAAAACTGAACAGTAAAAGTTTTTTTTTAATTGCCAGAGAAACAGAGAATTGGCGAAAACATCCCCCAATGGGGTGTGGTCATGCCATATCCCTTCTCCATTTCTCCATCCTGTCGGGATTTGGGGCACATGTGCACACATACCTAGTATGGTTTTTGTTGTTGTTGTTGTTGGTAAGCTTTTGCCACCGGGCAGATTAGCTTGCCAGAGACAGAGAAAGAAGGAAAGTGAGAAATCACCCCTCAGAGGAGATGGCCACACGACAATCTCTTCTTCTTCATTATCCCCATGGCATTTGGGCCACGCACACACACGCACCTGGTATGTTTTTTTCCAAGCCACTGGATCCAGGATTTCAACAATACAGTCGGCCATGTGGAAACTAGCACCTTAAACACCACACCACCTCTGGTTCAAGATCCAGCTTTTTTTTGAAAGAATGATTTGTTTAACTAATTAATTATTATTATTATTTTATCTGGCTATAGAGAGACAGAGACAGAAAGAAAGTAAGAAAGAAAGCTGCCAGGTCCGAAGCATGGTCAGCCATGTGGGAGTCTAGTGCCTTACCCACCATACCGCCTGCTGGCTCAATCCAGTTATCTTAACCACTAGACCATGGGGCTGGCAAAATTCAACTGTGTCCATTATTCCTATAAATATGCCTACCTAGTCAATGAGATTTAAAATTTTTTTTATTTATCTATTTCATTTGAATTGTTATTATTTTTTAATTTGGCCAAAGAGAGACAGAGAGAGAGAGAAAGGAGAGAGATAAAAGGAAAGTGAGAAAGCAAGCTGCCAGGTCCAGGACTTGAACCACAGTCGGCCATGAGGGAATCCAGTGCCTTAATCACCACACCACCTGCTGATCCCTAGTGAGATGTTTTTGCCTCCCTGAGACCTTCATTCTTTCAAGGCTAGGAACACCAGTGACCACTCAGTGGTCATCAGAGACATCTCCCTAAAACTGCACTAACCTAGATGTGCAGACCCCAAACACACACGTAAGGTAGCTTTGGCTTCTGCCGTGAGTGGAGGGCCCACCTGCAGCGTCTCACCTTCCTCACGGTCTCCAGCTCCTGTTGCTTGTTCTCGTTGGCGGCCTGGAGCTCTTTCATCTGCCGCTCCAGCTCCACCTGCTCAGCCAGCAGCTTCTTGCGGAGTTCCTTCCGACGCTGGCGAGCTTCTTTGTGAGGCGGTGAGCTTCCCAGCTTCAACAGATGGAGAGTAGAATAAATGGCTGTAACCGGTGTAGGAGAAAAAATGGAAATACGCTTTATTCCTTGTAAGCCTAACATGCAAACGGCACAATGGGAAGAAAACCAGAGACAGGGACCAGCAGTTAGTGTAATGGCTATGTCGTGGACTCCCATGTAGTCGACCGCGGTTCAAGTCCTGGACCTGGCAGCTTAAACTCAAGCCAGGCGCGTGTGCGTGCGTGCCCAAGATCCCAAGAAGAGAATGGAGGAGAAGGGATTGAGGCGTGGTCATCCTCCCTGGGGGGTGATTTCTCACTTTCTGTCTCTCTGGCGAGTGCACGGGCCCTATAGCAAAAACCTCTCCAAAAAAAAAGAAAACCAGAGACAGAGCCCAGTGCAGATTCCGACTTTCCCAGCAAGCAGTGGTGTGACCACAGGCAGGCCACATAACCTCTCACAGCATCAGCGTCCTCATCTGTGAAAGGAGAGAGATGATCTACAAAGTCTCTTCCTTCTCCCAAATTCCACACTTGTGTAGCTGTGCTTAAAGAGATACATGCTGGGAAAATTACACACTCTAAGATGACACTTCCAACTCCCTTCTCTACACTTCTCAGAAGGCCAGATTAAGACTGGCTCCATGGTGCAGCCTGATTGTGCTGCTCAAGAGAACACAGATCCCACATGGCAACAGCTGCTCAGCCTGAAACACACAGGCCATGCATGCCCGTGGCGGCATCTGATGAGCTGGAGGACCGGAAGAAGGGATCGTGGTGTGGCCAGACCCTGTGGAGGGTGCTCCTCTCTCTTTCTCAGTCTCACAGGTGCACACACACTCTATCACAAATAAAGAAAATATATTTTATATGTATAGATTTTTTAAATAGGTATTTAATGTTATTTATCTTTTTTTTTTTTTTTTTTAAATTTGCTACGGGGCACACATGCTCACTAGATAGAGAAAGTGAGAAAGCAAGCCACCAGGTCCAGGACTCGAACCACAGTTGGCCATGTGGGAGTCCAACACCTTAACAACAATGCCACTTGCTGACCTCATGTATATATTTTTAAATTTTTGCTAGAGGACACATGTGCTCACCAGAGACAGAGAAAGAAGGAAAGTGGAAAAGTACCTCCTATGGGAGGTGGTCATGCCACTATCCCTTCTCCTTTCTCCTTTTAGGATTTTGAGCATACAAGTGCACACACCTGCTGTGTTTTTCAAGCCACTGGGTCCAGAACTCAAAACTGCACAGCTGGCCTATGGGATCCAGTCACATAAATCACATCACTGGCTGGCCAGAAAAAATGGCTTGTTTTAGCCAAAATAAGATTAAGACATAGGGCAGGGCCAGGAGGAGGCATGGTGGTTAAGGCGTTGGACTCCCACATGGCCAACTGTGGTTTGAGTCCCAAACCTGGCAGCTTGTTTTCCTACATGTTCTCTCTCTCTGGTCAAATTTTTAAAAATAATAATAAATAAAATTAAACACATAATTATTTTCATTAAAAAGATTGACATATGTTAAAGATTCAAATCTGATTTGTAACCTGCTGTGTTCAGTCTGCCCCACACTGAAGCCTTATGAAAACAGCCCCTAGTACTCCTTTCCTGTGATACCAGATAACAGAAACTGCCACTTACTGAAAAAATATATAACGCATGTAAAGGACACACACACGCTCTTATATGCATTACCTAATTTCCATATGAAATCTGATTTCTCTCTTGACACATTTTTTTAATACCAGAGAATGTGTGTACACATGATAAGGGGGGGTAGGAAAACACCCCCCACTGTGGCCTGGTCACACAGCATTCCTTTTCCCTTCAATTCTCCATCCCATCAGGATCCTGAGCATGTGTGCGCCTGGAGTGTTTTTCAAACCATGGAGGCCGGGAATCAAACCCTAGTCAGCCATATGGGATTCAGCTTCCTCTGCACAGCAATGGACCACCATTCCAGAGGGTCAGCCCCTAATATTTTTAACTACTTAAATTTAGCTTCTTGAATTGGATATTCTCTGACATTGTTCAAATTCAAAAAGCATAAAAAGACATTCAGTACAAGTCTCTCTTAAGCCTAGCCCCAAGTACTCGGCTCTTCACCCTACCAGAAATTAAGCTAATGGCTTCTTGTGCATCTTTCCTGAGGTATTTTAAGCAAACATAAATAAATACATATACACATCCTCCACATTCTTTTGACACAAATGCTGGCACAACAAACTCTCAGAGTCTTCCTCAGTGTGTAAAGTAGTGTACATAAAGTACTGTATCATATGCCACCATGCAGCTACACCACAATTTATTCAACCATTTCCCAATCATTGGGCAGTTAGGTTGCCTGAAATCTGTTGCAAACAGTTCTGTAATGTTGTTTTGAAAATGTGCAAGTATAACTGTCATTATCTGATTTTTTAATCCTCAAAAAACCCTAAGGTAGGTGTTACTGGGTCGTCAGGAAAGTCATGACACATTTTTGCATTGAAAAACATGTCATGACCCTTCTGACAACCTAATATTATTATCCCCAGTCACAGGAAGATGCAAGCAGCTACAGAATTCTTAACTCAAACCATGGAAAGAGATACACTTGCCTCAGACTCTTAAAGCACATGAGAATAACAATTTCCAATGTAACAATTTTATTCATATTTGGGAATATAATATTCATAATCCTCTTTCAGTATTAAAAAAGAAATCTTATAATGAACATATACCAAAGATATTAAGGGCATGGGCCAGAAGTTGGTATGGTAGTTAAAGCGCTGGACTCCCACAAAGTCGACTAAGGTTCAAGCCCTGGACTTAGAGGCTTGCTTTCTCACTGTCCCTCTCTCTCTGTTTCTCTCTCTGGTGAGGATGCATGCCATATAGCAAATTTAACAATAATAACAATTAATAAAATTAAATAATTATTTTTTAAAATATTTAGTCCCATGGCTTAGTAATTAAGGAAGATGGATCCCACATGGCTGACTGTAGTTAGAAACCCAGCCCCAGCAGCTTGAAAAACACACCAAACACATGTGTGTGTGTGTCCAAAATCCCAACAGGATGAAAAAATTGAGGAGAAAAGACTGCGATGTGACCACATCCCGCAAGGAGGCGCTTTCTCCATCTCCTCTCTCCCTCTGTCTCTTTGTCTCTGGCATGTGCACATGCCCTCTGGCAAATTGATATATGCATATATGTTTAAAATTTTTTATGTAGTAAAATCTAACATATTTTTAAATGTCAAATAACATAACTTTTTAGTTTAAATAGTATTTCTTTTATTCTTGTGGAATAAAAGAACTTGAAAATTATCTGATGTATTCTAAAGCTACTGCATAATTCCTCTTCTGTGTTATGGACTACCAAAAATTCAAGATGGCCACTTTAACATCCTTCATAGTCCTAAAAAGAGAAAATTCTGTCATATTAAATAGTAAGAGCAAATACAAGACAAAATCTCCCATTTATAATTTTGCTACAAGTTTATTATGCAAATAAAACTGATGAAAAAATTCGAGAACTCATCATAATTTGTTTTTCTTTCAGCTACACTGTCACACACAGAAATAACCATAGACAATGAAAAAGCAATGTCTATCATCGTTCATGAGATTAAAAAATCCACAAAGCTCTCAAGTCACATCATGGAAAATAATAAAAATTCCCCTACCCTGAATCCACTCCTGTTTCTTCTTCTTATCTGAAGCACTGATTTCAAAGGTCTTATCAAAACATTTTATGAGAAAAAGGCATTTCTTCCCATCTCTGTCAGGCAAAGACTAAAACAGAAAGCAAAATTAATTCTTCAAAATTTTATTAAGTATTTAAACTAAATTTAATCTTAATTATTTATACAAATCTGACTGAAATTCAGTGTCAATGAAAATACCTGTAAGTGGTTATTACTGACTTCCTAGTGTTGTTTCCTAGGCAACATCACATACGGTAACAATAATGGCCGATGGTTATACCGCATCTGCCCTGGGAGAACTATGAACACCTGACAAGGGTACATAGGCTAGGCTTTCCTGAGCATAGCAACTCTTGCACCTGAACATGTCCCTTGCAAGAACCCTGGAAGGTATGCCCATGGAATTATCACAAGAGGGACTGACTTCCGTGCGACAGGAGGCCTCTATACCACGGGGATTCCTAAGCCTGCCTGATGTGGCTGCTTCTCCTTGCAGCTGGGCTGTTGTTCCTGTCCTGTATCCTTATGGGTAGACTGGTATAGCCTACAATAATCTAGTGGGTCTCCACGTTTAGTTGAATCTAAGAAGGGTCTTGCAAGGACACTGCATACCCCAAGACATTAACGTATCTATCCTATTTCATTCACCAAAGTCCATTATGGCTTGTAAGTGAGAGCTTAGATATTTTAAATGCTCTTCAACAAATACCGACACAAATCTAAAATTCTCAAAATTTATCTTCTTAAAGATTCACCTTTTTTACAGAATTAGCAGACATGAATAAAGTATTCTGAAAGTCACTCAAAGTATTCAAAGAAGAGTCAGCAGGTACCGTGGTGATTAAGGCACTGGACTCCCACACCGCCAACCACTGTTCAAGTCCTGAACCCGGGGCCCATGTACGCATATGCCCAAAATCCTGAGAGGAGAATGGAAGAGAAGTGATTATGGCATGGTCATGCCCTCAGCGGGTGATTTCTTATCTCACTATCTTTCTTGGTCTCTCTCCAGTGAGCACATATGCCCTATGGCAAAGACCTAAAAAACGTATTCAAAGGTAAAGCTCAACCTTCTTTTCCTTATTGCACTGAAAGTGTCCCCGATCTTCTGGTATACTCATGACTTCTAACCCTGTCTTACTGAACATTTTTCCCTTGTTTTCTTTTTTACTCTATTCAATAAATGATTCCAAAAAGTACAAATAAATTAGATTTATATATACTTTGTTCACAAGTATAAGATAGAAATAAATTTAAATTACAAAAAAATTTTGTCAGTTATCTTTAATTTTTGGTTCAGAATAGGGCCATTATGTATGTGTGTGTGTGTGTGTGTGTGTGTGTGTATATATATATATATATTTTTTTAAGCTTGCTTTAGGGCAATGTGCACTCGCCTGAAAGAGGCACACAGAGGGAGAGAGAAGAAAAGTGAGAAACCACTACCCAGGGTGGATGGCCATACCATAATCCCTTCTCCTCTTTTAGGATTTTGGGGCATGCACACACACACATGGTTTTTAATCAGCCAGGCCCAGGACTCAAACTGTGCAGTCAGCCACTTTAACCACCATGGCACCAGCTGGTCCATGTATGCCTATATTATTTTGAAACTATACATGTGGAAATTATTTAAAGGCTCTAGAATCCAGAAGGAAGATGACAAACTCCTCGAGCAGCAGGGGGCAGCACTGGGTAATCATGCAGACTTACCTCCACACAGCAGTTTTCATCCAGAAGAATGTCTCCTTTCTTATCTTTCAGATCCTCACTCACATAATAAGAGATTACGTTGGGTTTTAGTACAAACCAGCGCTCAGTCCAGTTTTTCCGTCTATGGCCTTTTTTCATCATGTAACCCTATGAAACAGTCAATCTGATGTAAATACCTATCCTTTTGTTTGTAAGAGCTGATGTCTCTTCTTTGATATTCTCATCTACTCCATCACCTGATATATGGTCCCGAATACAAGAATGTCAAGGGTTTTGCCCCTTGTGGGTCAAGGATTCTGTGAGGAACTATGAAGGTCAGGAAGACTGGACTCAGTCAAATTCATGCAAGCACGGGCAGACAAAAGTTGGCATGTAATTTCAGGCCCGTTAGAGACAACTCCCTCCCCAAAGTGACAAACAGATAACGAACTTAGAACCTCTGATGTTAACAGCATTGTGAATTTTCTAAACTTCTGTATTTTTTTTTCTTAAGATAGCTATCGAAAAATTTATAGATAAAATGAAATGCCTGAGACTTGCTTCAAAATAAAATAGGAGCGATAAAAGCAGGCAGGGTAGGATTAACTGTGTGTTAGCAGTCACGGGGGCTGGGTGATGAGTGAAACAACTCCTCCAGTTATTCTTAACACACTAAAACCTCAATCAACGACAATGCCAACGAGTGTCGACTTGTATATCTTCTCGGCCAAATATTTGAGGATTTCTACTTTCTGGTACCAAACTACCTTTTCTAATGGATGAACTCTGCTCCAGACAAGTACGAAAGCATTGGACCAGGAATTAGGACACTGGCTTCTAAGTTCCCACTCTAAACCTTGAAATTCCTTCCTATATATTAACTTTCAGAGATTCTTTCTGGGTTCTTCAAAACTAGCTGACTCAGGGCTGGCAGGTGGTGTGGTGGTTAAAAACACCGGACTCCCATGTGGCTGACCGTGGTTCGAGTCTCAGACCTGGCAGCCTGCTTTCTCACTTTCTCTCTCTCTCTCTGTCTCTGTCTCTCCCTCTCCGTCTCTGGTCAAATTAAAAATAATAAAGATAAATAAAGTTAAATAAAATAAATTTTTAAAAAAGAGAACTAGCAAACTGTTTGTTTTTGTTTTTTGTTTTCGCTATAGAAAACACATAAACTCATCAAAGAGAGACAGAAAGAGAGAGGAAAAGTGAGAAATCACCCCCAAAAGAGATGAACATGCCACAGTCCCTTCTCCTCTACACTCCTCTCAAGATTTTGAGCATGCATGCACAAACACTCAGTGTGATTTTCAAGCCGCTGGGCCTGGGACTCAAACCAGTAGTCAGCCAGGTAGGATCCAGATGCCTTAACCTACACACCACCTGCTGACTCACCACTTTGAATATTAGACCTACAGGTACTGATAGCCTAAAGTAGACTATACAAATCACTAAATACATGACATTAAGTTGGCTCTAAGTTTCAGGGACCCAGCAGTTGGCGTAATGGCTATGTCGCTGGACTCCCATGTAGTCAACAGTGGTTTGAGTCCTGGACCCAGTGGTTTAAACTCATGCCAGGCACATGTGCATGCATGCCCAAGATCCCGAGAGGAAAATGGAGGAGACAGGATTGTGGCATGGCCATCCCCCCGGGGGGTGATTCCTCACTTTCTGTCTCTCTGTCTCTGTTTCTGGCGAGTACACATGCCCTATAGCAAAAACCTCTCCAAAAAAAGTTTCATACGTTTATTACACTATCTAATCGCATAATTTATTCAATTTTCTAATCCTTGGACATTTAAGCAAAAGCTTACTCACACTGAAATTCTTCTGGACTTCTATATCTCACCATTCTGGTGGGCCTAGAAGTTTACTTTGGACAAAAATCATGTCTCATACTTATTTGTACCAAAAACCTATACAACTGAAGCCTCAATTAATGTTTGTTGATAGACTCCATTAGGAAAAAAGAACAAAGAATATAAATAACATCACCTACTGAACAAAGAAAGTAGCAAAGTAAGTTCATCCCAAATCAGAGTTTTGTTTTTTTTTTTAAGAATTATGTATTTACTTTTATTCATTCATTTATTTTAATTTGACCAGGAAAGACAGACACACAGAGAGAGGGAAAGTGAGAAACCAAGGCACCAGGTCTGGGACTCAAACCATGGTCAGCCATGTGGGAATGTCCTGCACTCTAACCACCATGCCACCTGCTGGCCCCAGAGTTGTTATTCAATATAATAATGTAAGAAATTTAAAGATCCACCAAAAATATATATAAACTTTTATTTAACAGATGTTAAGCTTCCCATATACTACGCTGGGTACCGAGAAAACCAAGATAATAGTCTAATACAAAGGCAGCTTTGCTATATACAGGTACCTTTTTCTTTTTTAAAAAATAATTATTTTTATTTAACTTTATTTATTTATTTATTTATTTATTTATCTGAATTTGACCAGAGAGGGACAGAGTGAGAGATAGAGAGATAGAGAAAGTAAGAAAGCAAGCGAGTCTGGGACTCAAACTGTGGGAGTCCAGACCCCTTAACCACCATGCCACCTGCTGGCCACACAGGTACCTTTTTCTAAAACTGAGGATATTTTTCTAATTTTATAACAATAAAATAAAATCACATACACCATCCAGTAATACAGAAAAGAATGAAAAAAATCCACCAGAATCCACAGTTTTGAGGCAGTCATGTGACCATCCTTCCAGACAGCCCTACAGGCAACCTCATGTCACGTGGAAGGAGTGTGAGATACCTCCTGTTCAGCAGCCCACTGTGTTAACTGAACTGTGGCATGGGGATCTTCCAGATTAATGAACACGGGTGTGCGCACAGTTCAAAGGTACTTTAAAAATAGTTTGGAAATGTGATTTAAATAGTTCTCTCTAAAAAGTAAGGTTTCAATTCCTAACTGTACCTTACAACTGCAACACTTAAGAGAATTTTCAGAAATTCTCTAAAATGAAAGCCTAATACAAGACTGGAAAAATAAAAACTTCGTTCTTGTTCTAAATCAGTTTAAGACTACAAGTCACTTATGTTTACCTTTACAATAAAAATGTCATTTTATTTCAAACATGCCAATACCTAAAGATGAGGGCGAATACAGTGTTACAGGACGCTTACCTGTTTCAACACATCTAATATAAGCTCATTAAAGACTTCATTGATTGCCATAGACACTGTCTGCCGATCCATGCCTTTGCTAAACTGTCCATTTCCAATAAGCTCAATGAGTTCCCACGCAGAAAGGCCATCTTTATTGTCATCAAAGTTGACTCTGTAATGTTCAAATTGTTCTTGCTGCCAACCTCCTCCCATAGCTTCTGTAAGTTTCTTAAGCAGGTATTCAATCTATATAAAAAAAGTTTTATTCTTTCTTAGATTAAAATTACTCTTTAATAAAATGAAACAAAAAAAGAAAAAACAGATTTTTTAATATAGGTATGTATTTATTATTCTGATAAGGTCAACTTAGGAAATATTTTCTATAATTCCAAAAGTGTATTATCTTAAAGAATCTCCTACTCTTGAGAGAGGGTTATGAGTGAAATGCCACAAGTTCTGTATTAGCCTAGAATAAGTAAAGGAATCAGAAACTAATAACCCTCAAATAGTATTACATTTGCATACAGAACTAAAGCCAACTACACATATACAACCACACATAAATTAATGTGATCGAGTACTGATAACCCTCAAATACTATTACATTTGCATATAGAACTAAAGCCAACTGCACATAGACAATCACACATTAATTAATGTGATTGATTACTTTCCTGGATAAATATTTTGATTTATCAGATCATTAATATTACTGAATTACCGTGTGAGTGTTAAACGTCTCAGAGTCAGATATACAAGGAGCTCCCCAATTCACAAATTCCTGTGTAGGTCTATTTGACTCACACTGCCTATTTCCATTAGAACACTGAATGGGTGGATTCCTAGCCGGAGCTGGAAATGTTTACTAAGTCCTGAAACATCACCCCTTCATGTAGACATAGTGGGAATACTGCTACTCAAATAACAGCAGTTAAACACAACCGTGAGGCAGGAACAGTGAAGGAGCTGTCATCTCTCGTCTGGAAAACCTGGGTCTCTCCTACCAGAGTGCTCTTGAACTCCACAAGCCCAAATGTAGACACATCCGCTCTGCCTTCCGCTAGCTCCCCCTTTATTACTGACTTCGGTTAGGAGGCACACCATCACACATTCACCCTGCTGGGATTCCTGTTCCCTGCCCTTTCACATCGAGCCACTGAAAAATCCCTGTTGTTCTTACTTCCCTAGAATAGTGTTTTTCAAGCTGTGAGTTATGACCTACTATGAAATCAACTTCATGGTTAGGAACCAGCATTTTTCCCTAATGGAATGAAAGCTATTTGAGTTCATAAAGACAAACAATGTTTTGTGGTTAAGTTTTGCTTAGTATGCACATGTGTCTAGGTATGTGGGGCTATGACATAAAATGTATCTTCCTGGGCCAACTTAGTAACACAGCAATTAAGTATGGTGCATAGAAAACTGGATTTCACATGGCTGATCACAGTTCAAATCCTGGTCTTGGCAGTTTGAGGAACACTTTGGGTACCTGTGTATGCATGCACAAAATCCTGACAAGACAAAAAGTAGAAGAAAAGAGATAGTGCATGACCATGCCCCATTAGGGGGTTCTTTCTCTCTTTCTCTTTGCCCCTCAGCCCATATGAGCACCTTCACCCTCTGGCAATTAAAAAATAAAAATGAGTATCTTCCTACAGGTTGCAATCAAAAGAAAATGACAAACTTTATCCAAGACAGTTCTCAAATCTATCCCTCCTACCCCATCTGCTTTTGTTCAGGTCTTCTAGTTGGTATCCTTGTCTGCAACATTGCCTCCCCCCCATTTTTTTTGTTTGTTTTTGGAGAGGTTTTTGCTAGGGCGCGTGCTCTCACTGGAAAGAAAGAAAGAGACAGAAAGCGAGAAATCACCCCCGGGGTAGGATGGCCACCCAGCAATCCTTTCTCCTCTATTCTCCTATAGGGATCTTGGGCACGCACGCACACACGCCCAGCGTGAGTTTAAGCCACGGGATCCAGGACTCAAACCACAAGCGACTACATGGGAGTCCAGCAACATAGCTATTACACCAACTGCTGGTCCCGTTCCCTTTTTATTTATACTCTGCTAGAAGGAGTTTTCTAAAGCAAAACCATGAGTCTGTCCCTCTCCTTCTAAAGCCTTCTCTGGCTCCCTATTACCTTGAAGATAAAGGCCCTGCTCTTCTGCATCCTTTGATGAAAACCCCTCCCCAAGTCCTGCCTTTCTCTAGCGCATCTTCCCCATATCATCAGCAATATCACAGATCATGGTCACTAACTTTTACTACAAAGGCTCAAGAGCGAATGCTTTATGCACTTCTATTGCATGTCCTTTGGTTTTTTGGTTTTTATTTTTACAACCCTTTAGTCATGTAAAACCTTTTCTGAACACATGGGCTATACAAAAAATAGGTGGTATGCTAGACCCAGCCACCATCTGAAGTTAGCCAACACCTGCCATACATTTTTGTTTTTGCTACAGGGCACATGTGCTCATTGGAGAGAGACAGAGAGAGAGGAAGGGAAAGTGGGAACTCACCTCCTGGGAGAACTCTCTTCTCAGGACCTTGGGCACACACGCACATGCCCAGAATGTTTTTCATGCCACCAGGTCCAGAACTCGAACCACACTTTTGGTCATGTGAGATCCAGCCACCTTTACCACCCCACCACCTGGCTGGCCCATAGATTGTAAGTAGTTTGTTTACCCACTACACTTTTTTATGCTTCATTGCCTCTCCTCTCTTTCCCCATCTCTCTCCAGCTAGTCAGACCTCTGAGATACTGTTCCTCAGAGAGGACCTGGACTGCCATCCTCCAGAAATGCGTTACAAATGAACTCGCAGACCTCTCGAAAGAACGCCCGGTCAGAATCTGTCCTTTAACAGGCACCAGAGGTACCTGGCAGCAAAGCTCTGGCCAGCTGTGATCCAGCCTAGCACTCTTCTTCCATGTCACCGTACTTAGCAAACGGCAATGTCCTTTTCACTCACTTGCTTCTCCACCATTTTCTGAATTCCTTGAAGGGGGACCATGTCCCAGTCATCTCTGAATCTCCAGAGCTCCCCTAATATATGTTGAACTGAAATGAACTCAGCTAAGTCTCAATCTTCTCATCTATGAAAGGGGCATGAAGATACTCATCAGATGGAACTACCGTGACGATAAAACGAGAGAAACCAAGCAATTCGCACAATGCCTGGCAGGTCACTGCCGCTCCCCTTCTGCGCTAAGAAAATATTAAAGGTTAAATATCTAACCATTTAAGATCACATTTAAGAAAGTCCTTATGAACTAACATAGAGTGAGAGGGAAAGTGAGAAATCATCCCCAAGAGGGGATGGCCATGCGGTAATCCCTTCTCCTCCATTCTTCTCTCAGGATCGTGGGCACGCACGCATGCACAGATGCCTGGCATGACTTTCAAGCCACCGAGTCCAAGACTTGAACTGTGGTCAGCCATGTGGGAGTCCTGAGACGTAACCACTATGCCATCTGCTGGTCCCATGCAATATCATATTTTAACAGAGAAAGGATGGAAATACGTATTTGCGAAGGAATGCAAATTCACAAATATCACAAGTTCAGAAAATACCAAGTGTTCTACTGACTTGATCCAATGTGATACAAGCGCCTCTAGATTGAAGATTATCTTATATCCTAAGAGAGGCACACGGTAGGTATTCCATAAATGCTTACTTGATGGAGAAAAACACCTGTAGTCTTTCCTTTCCTTTGATGGAGACATATCACCTCAGTAAATAATTACCAGATATTATTAGACATTTTCTTGGCACTTAAGCAGAAGTAACAGGAAAAGCAAGAGGAAGAGAGAAAATAGAAATGCTAAAAAGAAGAAAGAAAAAAGGAAGAGGAAAGGAGAGAAAGGAACAGAGAATAGAAGGGAATTAAAAGATGAAAGTCAAGACATGAAGAGAGACAAAGAGAGAGAGAGTAGAGAAGGACCTTAAGATAAATAATCGCTGAAGTTAAAATAACTGAAATGTCACTACCATGTACCAAGTTTCAGTCTGCCTATGGTGGGAAAAACAAGGGCGGGCCCAAGGCTGCCTGATCACAACCTGGGGTGAAGGTGGTACGGCACAACTGGAAGTTTCAACAGTAAGAAAGCACCTGTGTACGCCCACGCGTCTGCACAGGATGATCACACATGGGCCTGACGAGATGCAGCCAACGGACGTTTTTCTGATTAACATGCACATGCACGACGGAAAGAGGAGCACCCTCTATAGGGTCTGCTCACGCCACAGTCCCATCCTCTAGTCCTCCAGCACATCAGCTCTCTGGCACTCGCGCACGTGCCCAGCGTGTTTCAGGCTGACCTGGCCAGGGATCTGGACTGCGGCTGGCACGTGGGATCTGGCTTCTCTGGAGTAGCATATTATATTATCTCTGTGCCACATAACCACACCCCTGACCACCTGTACATCTTAGCTCTTCCTCATCTACCACTGTGAACGAACTCAAGCCCGTCACACTCTGAGTTTCGGGTTCCTCTCCAGTATCAGGTGCTCTTTTACAGTGTCTGTACCTTAGTGCCAGTAAGCTGCAAACTCAGCTCTAGAAGCAGCTTCCCAGCATCATCTGCATCTGTCACAGGGGCCCTCCCGACCCCTAGGGAAGCTGTCATCAGTGCCTGGCACCAACCTGCACAGCAGGCACTAATCCAGATTCGTTTCCTGTTGACTTTCAACCCACTCGCATACCTACCATAACTAAATAACTTAAGGACCTTTTGACTCATGACACTGGACCAAGGAGAGACCAGCGTCCCCTCCTCTGCTGTTCAGTTATTCTACATAATAAATCACACGCTGCCCCGTGAGTCTCAAGCAACCCACAGCAATTCTAAGAGCTCATTCAGTTTCAGGAAGCAGCTTACTTCCTCCTTCTAAGCAAGTTTCACCAAAAATAACAAAGAATAAACTTGCAAGCTGTGTGTGATTCTTGAGGCCTTCGGCTCTCAAATTCATTTTTTAAGGCGTTGTTTCCTGTCATCTTTAAAAGGGGCATTTCTTGGTTTAACAATTCAAGCTTTATTTCATGTATGGTCTCTTAAATATTTCAGGTTTGACTTTTAATTGCATCAAAGCAATTCTTCTAATTAAATCTCCAACAGAGACATCCTGTTTTGTTCTTGGTTCCATGAGAAATGAATACTAAGCAAAGACTATACAGACATACACTTCCAGGAATATCACGTGACAAAAATGACGGAATCAACTCAATTAGGACACACTCTTTTT